TGGATACAGCTAAAAGTGGGCGCCAACGCAAAGTTTAATGAGAGCGGATTGCGCAGAATCTACTGTTAACTAGGAAAATGGGGGTGTGCCCTTTAGTTGTGAGGAAAACGGCCAATCAGCTACCTGGGCTGTACGTCCTCAGGGCACAAACCTGCACAAGCACTGAATGCCAGCGGTATCCGGCAAAATGCATAAAAAGGCGTTACAAGAGGAGGGCCCACAAGCAATCGGCGCCTGCCAAGCCAGTTGCAGGATCGAAATCTTGCTTCAAAAGAGCACAACCAAAAACGACAACCCCTCCACGCGCACGGCTTCGCGGAAGCCGCAAATATCGGTGGTTGAAAAACTTCGAGCTGGGTATATTTGACAGACAGGGAGGCAGAAATGACAGTTCCAATATCGTTTCGACAGTCTCAATCAGCATGCGACCACCTGCGTGGCTAGACAGAACGCGACGAGTACCGTAACCGATCGGTTAGCATTCACATTCCCGGTCCGTGGCTCAATGCCTAATGTGTTGGACCCCTAATTCACCGGCCACGAGCTAGAACTTTAGTTAGTGCACTACCTGGGGTCCGGTAGGGCTGACTGATGACGGCTAATGAGCCAGAAATGGGCCTCCTAGTCTACCCGATCTCTGTGCACAGTGTCATTCAGTATAGCGTTTGAGTTGCCAGGTGATTGCCTGCGGGCCATCTAGATCCAGCCCCAAAAGCAAAACCGAACGAATAATTCTCGTAACCCATAGGTGGCGAGCGTCTATCCACCATTTTTAAACGAGGCAGAAGATGGGGACCTGTGTTTTTATCACCGAATGACGCACGTCCTGAACTTAAATATGCGTTCTGCCTGTCTTATGCCTATAAACCTTACCTTAACACCGTTTCCTGCCATGGTAGTGGGTCTTTCGGTTTGATGACTCGACGCCTGATGGTTGATTTTGGCCTGTACACAAATCCAACTCAAAGTGGGGTGAGAAGGCGGCTGACTACTTGCGATACATTCTTCACATGCGGAAGAGCTCGTCAGAATTTTGGGCGGGTTGGATTTGGTTTCTTGTCTCGTCTGCGTATGCACTGATTGACAAAATTGCGTGGTTGACGATTCGCTCAGAGTACCCGCCGAAGATATTGTAATTCGGCAACTTTGTCTTCCTTTTCGCTGGAATGCCGATAAGTGGTCACCACGCGTGGTCACCACGAGATAGGAATACTGCGTAATCTGTGCATATATCACCTAACTTTTTAATTTATCATCTTATTCTACCGTCACCGCTGATAAAGGGTTCTCGAGAGAATTCGAAATGTCAGGCAAATAAACATCTCGCATATATTTTACTTCTAAACGCCGAAGTAGTAAGGCGCCACAGAATTCGTCAGTGGAAAAGAGCAAAACCAAACAAATGATGAGAGAAGCCAGTACACACACGCATAGACACGGCTCAGACAAGAGCCTTAGAGCCGAGAGTAAAGGCAACGGTGCAGAGTTCTCGCTCGGGCGAATCGTTCTGAAGTGGGGTTGCGCGGCCAATAAACGCCATTCTAGCATGACTGGGTGGAGTGAGACGACTGTAAATACATGCCAAAGTAGTGCTGCCGATAGCGACCGCCAACTGCGAGATTTATGAGTAAAGACAGCTCAGACAAGAGCCTTAGAGCCGAATATCAAGGCAAGGGTATAGAGTGTTCGCTCGGGCGTACGACCAATGAACGCCGAAGTAGTAAGGCGTCCCCGGAAGTCTTAAATGGGAAAAAGAATAACCATACAAATGGTGAGAGAAGCCAGTACACACATATAGAGGCACAGCACAAAAAGTCTGACTATTTAACAGAGTAGCAGTAGTAGCAGCAAAGAAAAAGTACGCAAAGGTAAGGACGCCTTCTCAGGGTGAGAGGAGGGGGCGAGCGCTTAGAAGGAGAAGTAAACACCTAGTATTTGGTGTAACTAACTCATAGCGGCTAATAAGCCAGAAGTAGCCCTACCGAGCTCCCTTATATTTCCTGGTACAGTACTCGCCGGCTATTAAGACCACGGTTAATAAGCCCGCCGCTTATTAAGCCCATTTTGGTCTGGGCCCGAGGTGGGCTTAATAG